CCCGTGCGTACACATGACATGTGTCTCACTAATAATGCCAATCGACCCGAAATTACAAGTATTTAAATGAAGTTTAAAACAAATTTTTTACTAAAAGTATTATATATTGATTTATTTAAACATTTGTATTAAATTTTAAATTAATAAATTTATTTAATAAAATTAGTTTAATTGAGTTTATTTTGTTTGTAATGATATACCGATTAAACAATTGATAATTTAAAAAATTAATTCAAAGTACAAACTACTGCACTCATGAGGGCTTTTGTATGAAGAATATAATATTTGTCGCATTCTTATTAATATCCATTTGATTGAAATAAAGGTTTTCTCATTAATATTGTAGTAAAATCTCTATCTTTCTCTCTCTCCGTTTACAAAAATTTTGTTATTTGTTTGTTATTTCAAATAAACTTAAAATTGATTGAATTTGTAAAAACTTTGTTTAAACAAAGAATTCATTTGTTTTATTAATATTAAAATTCTAACTAAATATGATATACATTATGTGAGCGACGGCTATAAGAGATTGTTATTAGAGATATGAAGCTATAAAACATTATTCAATTGAAGGATAAAAGTTTTAACATAAAATGTTTGAATTTTAACACAAAATCTTATAAATGAGTTTCCCGTGTATTAAAAAGGCGGAGATGAGGCCAGAGGTCAGACAGAAAACGATTTTCTTCTTCTTTTTGGCTCAGCATTAGTTGTCTTAAAAGTTGGGTTTTATTTAATTTATGGCAAACGCTAAACACTTATTCATTACAAATTGCAAAGTAAGACAATTTTGATTGGTATGGATTTAATTTTCTCGTTTTTATACATTTAACGATTAGATGTGAGATTCAATGGCATTAAAAATGAACCAAACATTTTGTCAATATATCATGAGATTTGGCTCCAAATGGTGTAATTGATTGAAGATTTTTTTGTTTTTAAAATGAAAATCATCTATAAATCAAATAAATTGCGTGATTTCTGTTATCTTTGGTTAGTTTTTTCTTTTGGTGATTAGTTTTTACTACTTTTCTAACACTTTACAAATGTATGCGCGAAGAAAGTCTAATATGAATTTTTGAATGTCTGGTTCTCTATCCGATTCTCTCCAAAACCGACTCTAATTCACAAAATAAAATAAAATAATTTTTCTCTCACTTTATCTGCAAAAATATTTCCAAGAATTTATTTGTTTGACACGACGATAAAATTAAGCAAATTTAAGTAACAAAATGCCAAACATGTGCAAACATCCCATTGCTCTCTCACACCTGTGTATACAGTCTTACACCACAATAAAGCACAGCTTCGGAGGTTCAGTGCGAAAACTTTAACTATTAATTGTGTTTATTCTTGTGATTTGGATTTAAGCCTTAATTTCCTGTCGTTTAGACATTTTTGGGAAACTTTTTTTGACAAAAGATTGTTTGCAGAAAAAGTTATATTTCTTGTTATACAATGAGATATATATCGACAACAATTCCCAAACACAACGTGTAATAAAGAATAATAATAAAACTATTTTAGAAATTGTTTGGCAATGAATTACAGGTATAACTATAACACACTTTTTGGACTCCTATTAAAGTAACAAATATTATAGTTTAGCAATCATTTGCCACAATGGGCTCAAAGGTTTCAAATGGCATTCTTTGACTTTTGGTCCGCAAATATCCACTATTTTTGAGCCACAAATTGGTTTCAGTGAACACCGCTTACGCACTGATCAATGCAATGATCATTGCTTTCAATGCATTTCACTGTATTTGAATGGATCTGAGAAATCATTGAAAGGTATCAACGTTTCGGATATCGGGTGTATATGTTATGCGGTGTTATGCCGTGAATGTAGTGAATGTGGTAAATATCTCACACCTGGTTTATTGGCGATCCCAGCATTCAATTGACGCGATTATAATCCGCTTCAATAAACCTATTATACAGATGTGCGTCAAATCATTTGAAGCCAACGCCACCGCCAGTCCAGAGCCCGTCCCCCACTCGCTGGACATCTCATACAATACGAAACGTCCCAACATTTGTGGCATTGATTTGCCCTTAAATACGTTATTCTCGTTATACTCCCTCTCTTTCCTCTCCTCCCAGTTTCTGTTCAATTCAATACTACAACACATACTCTACTCCTCAACACATTTCCAATACATTTTCGTTACAAAAGCCTTATTTTTAAAAGAATTCTCTCTTCTCTTCAAAAGTTTACAGAAATATTTTTCGTTTCACTCAACTCTAAAGGACAGGCAGTTCTGGTATAACAGTATTTGGCAAAAACTTTTCACATTCTCTCTCTCCAGAACTCTCCTTCTCTTTCTTTAGTTATGTTCTTTAGGGCTCTCTTTTCATAACACAGTCTCACTGTCTCTCTCAACAAAATCTATTGAAAAAATGATTTGAACACAAAATTCTTCTTATAAACTAATTATTCAACAAATTTTATGCAAAAAATATTTCTTTTTGTGCCCACAGAATAACAAGAAATTGATTTGCATTTCAGGACTTATATACAGTGGATGTAAATATTCTATACTATAGTAACAAGTAATACAGTAATAAAAATGCATTAAAATGATTGTTTTGCAAAACTGAGTGTACATTAAAGATAACACAATATAACAATTTTTTAAGTCACAGAATGAAATATTACTTAAATTTATTTTAATCCCAAATGACTTTTTTCGGGAATACATTTGTATTGTTTGTATCATAAAGTTATTAAAGAGAAAATCTATCAAAAAAGTGGATTCACATGAAGCTGTTGGTGAGGAACCGGAGGCAACCAATCACTAATTTGGCAAAAACTTTTCACATTCTCTCTCTCCAGAACTCTCCTTCTCTTTCTTTAGTTATGTTCTTTAGGGCTCTCTTTTCATAACACAGTCTCACTGTCTCTCTCAACAAAATCTATTGAAAAAAAAAATGATTTGAACACAAAATTCTTCTTATAAACTAATTATTCAACAAATTTTATGCAAAAAAATATTTCTTTTTGTGCCCACAGAATAACAAGAAATTGATTTGCATTTCAGGACTTATATACAGTGGATGTAAATATTCTGTACATTAGTTCTATAGGACTATAATAAAAATGCATTAAAATGATTGTTTTGCAAAACTGAGTGTACATTAAAGATAACACAATATAATAATTTTTTAAGTCACAGAATGAAATATTACTTAAATTTATCCCAAATGACTTTTTTCGGGAATACATTTGTATTGTTTGTATCATAAAGTTATTAAAGAGAAAATCTATCAAAAAAGTGGATTCACATGAAGCTGTTGGTGAGGAACCGGAGGCAACCAATCACTTGGGGTGTGATCTTCAATGCGTTGGACAGCAGTAGAGAAGAAGCAATAAGTTAAGCAAAAAGTTGAAGAACTCTTGTAGGCATTTCGGAGCTGTACAGCACATACAAGGCATGTGTGTTGGCTCATGCAGTGTAAGCAGAAGCACAGGCAGTACAGTGTAGTATTGGCAGTAGTATTGGCTGTAGCGCTGGCACCTGCACTGCATCCCAACACATCCCAACACTGCATCTTTCTCTATGGGGTGTCCGACTATGAGGGGTAAGCGTCGCCGTCCGAGGGGTTCCCAAAAAGGTGTTAAAGCTTTACAAAACTTGTTTTGTAGTTTAGGTGTGAAGACCATCCCATCCGAGCCTCGCATTTAGTGCCAAACTTTATAAGCCAAGTGTTCGCCAGATCTGTGGCTTTAAACAACTGATTACTAACAGCACTGGTATTACTACCGATTTTATTACCAAACGCTTTGGACATAATTTATTTGAAAGCATTTGTGATAAAAAAAAGTTCATTTTCGGATCCCAGAGCTCTTGTAGTGGTTATGTCTATCGACGTTCAACACAACTCATACCTGGATTATGCATTCAATGCACTAAAATGTGAGAAAGTTTTTGTAATTATATTTTGCCATAAGTTATATACATTTTTGCTCTATTTTATATGTATTTTTCTATAAATGTTATGCCAAACACTTAATTAAACTTTCATTTGTGTCGATCCTTTCCGATGCCATTTTCCCACTATTTTTCTAAGTTTAGAAACTATTAAACTAATGTTCAAAACAATTCTTGCCATTCAATTGTGTAATCATTTTCCATAACTTCTTGTCTCTTAGTTCAAGTGTTGTTTAAAATTCGTTCACAAAATGTTTTGCATTTATATTATGTTTCATATAAAACTCATTTCTATCTGATCTCAATCTCTGGTAACTGTTTTGTAAGCAATAGTTAGGATGAAGTCAAATGTGTTTTACATCACTTAAACACTAATATCTTTGCAAACGCTTAGAAATATCTTTCATTCATTTGACGCTTCAATTTGTTTTAAGACTTGAGTATATATTTAAAGCAACACTTGTTTCCTGTCTTCACCACAAACTCTAAGCTTTTACATAACATTACACTTAACGGCCGATTGTCTCCCAATTTGTTTATTACATCCAAATGATTGGCAAAACTATTTTTCCAAACACTCATTGCTGTGGCAATCATTGCCTCTCAAAGACTCTTACATTTATCTCCCGATTGTCTGTCATATGAGACAAACTTTTTGCTTTACTTTTGCCAAAACTTTTCTAAACATATCTTTCACTCTCCACTCAAACACTCGCTAATAAACAATACATTTCCATATATTCCCTACACTATTGGCCAGTCATTCACTATTCAGACCTCAAACTAATTAAATAATATTCATATTATGTCTATTACTATAGTCTTATACAGTATTATAAATGAGAGAAAAAAAAGTTTTTAATTATAAAAGTGCATGAATTATAATTCAAGCAAAAGTTTGTGTAAAATATTGACAAAAATGTTTGTATGCTTTTGTATAGAGAGAGCGTTGGAAGCGATGATCGATTGTATCGCATATTGTTGTCAACCAATGGATTGTTAAAAATGGCTGAAAATGTTGTCAACACTTAAACACTGTTTTGAAAACTAAAACAAATCATTTGTTTTCAATTTGAATTCAATTTAATAATTATGTATTAATTATGGCATAAATCGTGACATTAATTGCCATTCATATCAAGTGTTGTTTGAATTGTGTCTCAAAATGAGTGCCAAAAGTATCAGACATTTCACACAAAAAAGTGATCACTAATTGAGAGATGAGTTGTTTTGTGGACTGAATTGACAGCCATTTGAGTGAATCAATTGGTGACCAATCGGTGACCATATGATGACCGCAATGACAATGAATGCTGTGATGGCATGGCTTGTGGTGACGATATCGTTGCGGACGTCATCGATGGTGAAGGCCTGCAGTGTCGACATGTGTTCCCGCGAGTACTCATCGGTGTTGCAGATGTCTCAGCAGTGGTCGGCCGGTGGGGGCGAGTCATCACCCGATGCCGACCATCAGTACTGTGCGCTCGTCAACGCCTATCAACACTGTCTGAAGTCGATCGGCAGGTCGTGTCGCGGAAACCTCGAGTTCCACACATTGCAGACACTGCTCAAGACGTGGAAACACGAGCGCAACTGTTCCCACACGTCGACAATGTCGGCCACCTATCGGCCCCATTCGGTGGCCTCAGCGCAGCGCAAGTCTGGCCACTCGTTGGCCGCACAGAATCAACAGCAGAGGCAACAAAATTTGGACGATATTCAGGAACAACAGTCGCGTCTTCAGCACTGTTTGTCCGCCGCCTATAACTATACCATCAATACAGACGTCTCGGCGGCCATCGATGTGCGGACAGACCATCGCACCCAACGTGTGGTGACCACCGCTGGACCCAAATCGCGGTCGAGGGGTCGTCCGGTTCGCGACAGCGACCCGTCTGTCAAAACAAACTTTTTCCCCATCAGAGGGGAGACCATTGATTTGGACGAAGACATGAACCAAAATGAGTTCAACTCGAGTCCAATGCCGCCAACAGTGCCAACGTTGAAGCCATCGGTACCGCCGTCGCCGCCCCTCACGTGTATTATATACGGCGATCCACACCTCAGGACATTCAACAACGAGTACCAGACGTGCCGGTGTTCGGGCGCCTGGCCTCTCATCGATCACCCCCTCTTCACCGTTCAGATCACCAATTCTCGCATCAAAGGTATGTTTACAATCAACTAATTGTCTCAATCAATGACTTAATGCAACAAATTGTGTGTTTTAGGTGCCAATCCTCAGGTGACAGGAGTGACCAAAGTTGTGGTTCTTGTCCGACAGTTCCAGAAGTGTGGCATTTTTACGGATCTCTTATACGAAGCCGACAGTCAGACCACACAAAGTATGCATTGAATTATGAAACAATTTAAACCATTGTATTAATGATGTGCTATTGATTAACAGACGGTCAACGAGTGGGCACCCCTTCGGCCACATTCATAGACGGGAGTACTTCTAACTCGAATAATCTGATCCGAATCACCCAATCATCAAATAATAATGTAATTACAATACATTTGGATCACATCGGGGTTCGTGTATATATAGGACAGTTTGAGAGGTCGGCGCACCTGAACGTTGTGATCAAATTTCGTTCGGCGACCTCTACTGTGAAACAACAATTAGTGCTCAACTCAATCAGTTCTAACTCGTTGTGCAAAATGGGTTGTCCTAAACGGGAACTCATAGACATTCAGAACATATTGAGTGCCACTGGTGTTGACGTGAACGGTGCCAACGGTGCCAACAGTGCCTCACAAACAGACAATAGTGTCACAGACTATAAGTCGGACTCCGGTGTGACGGAAGGGGAGGACAGCGACGACGACGCTGTGGTGGACGAGGAGGACGTACGGGAGGACCCGTGTCATGACCTGCACGGCTACTACAGGATCTCCTGTCTGTACGACGTGACCATCAAAGGTGTGAAAGATGTAAATAATGCCAATCGTTTCGCCCAATCATTCGATGAAATGAAATTCATTCAAAACAGTATTCTTAATGGCGTTAATAATGTGAACCAAAACGATGACAATTCTGTACATATAATCGCCAATTCATGCCATCGTTTGTCTGTCCATAGCATACAATCATTGTTCATATATTTGTGCGGATTTTATTTTTACATTCACTACCCATTAATCATAACATAATGTAAATTAACTATAAATATATACAAATGAATTACCGGTTATTTTTGTCAATAAATTATATATAGATTTCTTTTTGCTAAAAATATCGCTTTTATTAATATTTATATTGATTTTAGACTCCGTTTATAGTCTGGTTTTTGTTCATGTATTTGTCGTTTAATGTTATTTTTAGTGGAATTGTTGCTAATTATGTACTAAAAGGTAAATCGGAACTAATGGCCGGCTTTTGGCAAAGTGTTGTGAATGTATGTATGGGTCGTTTCCAATGGACAGGACATCAATTTTCATTTGTTGATGTAATTAACACTAATTTAGGCCCAGAGAAGTGTACAGTATAAGCACCGGAGGCCACACATCAGTGCTATATTTACTCCACAAATGCTCACTAACGTCACATCACGTCTACTGTAACAGAGAGTACACTATCGTTACTGTTAGTGTACTGTATTGTTATGTTGGCCTTCACTCGCATTTTACAAGGACTTTGTCATCCTTTTCACTCGCCCTATACCTCACTCTACTTTCAAGATCTCTTTCCACCAAAAGTCAACACTTTTTTCATATGAACCATACCTTATGCTTGCGCTTCAATTACAATAAACAATCTGTGAGTCCTGTGGGAAGCGATTGGCAGTACTTTTATACAACACTAACTTTCCTCAAATATTTGTCTCCAAATGCACTCAAATTTAATCAAAATTATAACCTTTTTTATGACAAACAGTATATAAATCTATATTTCTTAGGTTTTATTGCATTTAAAAACTAATTGTCCGCTAATTTGATTTGATTTTAACTAAAAATAGACTTATATTTTGGGAAAGTGCATGAATTGTGGGCTATTTTGTTGAAGGGTTCAATCAACTTGTTAAGGTGAGAATCATGGTCATATTCTTACATGAAATATTGGTACAGATATTGCAAAAATGATTTATTTTTTGACTTATTTAAAAAATAGACACAATTTTACAAATTTTACATTTAAAGCAAATAAAGATTTGATAATTATTACTAAATTTATAAATTGACTTAAATCATGAGAAATGTTTTGATTCTGGAATTTATAGCAAATTTGATGAAAAATACTCAAATCTATTGAAAAGTAAATAATATAATATATAATTAATTTATAATTAAATAACATTTGCAATGCATTATAAGTGCAAATATCATTCATTAGTGCATCACATCTTATCGTTAATAATAATAATAATATATTTTATACAATTAAACAAAACTATAATAATATAATAATAATTACTTAATAATCAAATATATATTCATTTATATACAATATATTAAAAACAACACAATGTGTGCATCAATTCATTTAGTGTTTGTGTTGCGATAATAGCATCTATAAAATGGGTGTTTGTGTGCAATCAATGAATCAATCAATCAGTGAATGAGTTGACATCACTTGAGGATCTGTAGACCAGTCCTGACGTAATGCACTAAATGGTCAAACGACGAGTTGAGACTCAGAGATCCGCATTCGTTATCTAAGGCAACGAAGAATGCTTTACACGAGGGATGCTTTTCAATGAGATGGTCGGCCTGTGACCAGAGGTCGTGCGCCGTATGGTATTGTTGCAGAAGAAACAGTTGTCGCTGTAATGCAGTCAATAGTGAGGTCGGAATTGAGACACAATTGTCCGAATTGTTAATCTCTTGCGTTTGGTTTGAAATCATTTTGTTGTTATCGCGAATCTCTTTCGACTTGATTCGGCTTAACTTCAGGTAAAGCAATGACTGACACCTATACGAGAGTGTTGTCAGCTTGTGATCAGTGGTGGGCACGTCGGCCGAGTGCGGGGACCGGGACTTAGAGAACTTGTTGGTTATCGTTCGGATCAGATTAAGTGTCTCCTTATACATGAGGGACACCTTCTCGGCCTCGTTTGTCGGGTTCTTCTGTTCCATTGCATTACCCGTTAAGATGAAGAAGAGAACCGCTTCTAAGTATTTGCACGCCTGAACCGTACGATCGGTCTCTCTATCGGCCGCGTGTTTTAACCGTTTGGCTGATAAGAGGAAGTCGTCGGGTTGGCCCACGTTTGGAGAGATCTCTACCGGAGTTCGCGTTGAGGTCTGCGTAATGCTCGGCGCGGCCGTCGTCTTCAGCGCCGGAGGTATCGGAAGCAGCGATGAGTTGGTTAATGGAGGCAAGAGTTGGGGCGGAGTGGGAGAGTGGGTCTCATGTTTGACAGAATGGCTAAATGATGAGGTGTTGGCAAACGAGTGGTCGCGCATCGGAGGTGTGGTCGACCACTGGAGTTGCTCTGAACTGTGCGAATCGTCTTGTATTGTGAACTTCTCTGGCATTGGCGGCGATTTCGGGCCCTTTTTCGACGAACTTTTGTTACTACTCTTACTCTTGGAATCCTTTTTATTCGTCGATTCTTTGGTCAAATCGTTTGTCGGCTTTGTTTTTGTCAAATGGCTTTTGTCGGCATTTTTTGTCTTTGAAAAACTATTTCTATTATTGTTGTCATTAATATTGATTTCCTCTTTTGCACTCTTGGTGTCGATTGTGTCCAGACAATCGCTATTAAGGCTAAAATTACTACCACTGCTTCCACTGCTTTCAAGATATGTTTGACCAGGAATTCGGTTTAAAAGCGTTAACTTAATCGAAACGATAAGACTTTTTGGTGCAAACTTTTCGGCAAAATCAGGCATTTTGTCGTATTTGTTGTCGTCTTTCAATCGTTTTTGTGGCGATTTGTTGTTCACAAGGGTTTGCGAAGTGTTTGTCTGCGGAATCGACTTCTTAGGCGTTGTCATCAGTTTCGGCGTCGGATGTGATGTGTGTTTGTTTAATGAGTTTTGAGAACTCTTCTCTTCTCGTTTGTCGTATTTCTCATTCATATCTTTTTCAATGGTTTGCATCCATTTTGGCGGCCGTTTGATCGGTGCGGGCGTTGGCGGCGAAAGACTGCCACAACTACTCGAGTCGGAGCTCATGCTCTCTCCGAGCTCTCCCTTCGCCACCGAATCGA